AGGAGGCTGGGAAGCCCGCGGCAAGGGAGGGACACAGGAGATGCCCTGGCTCCCGCCCACGGCCCAGCCCCGTGCCCTGGGAGGAGGGCAGGGCTTGCATCTGCACTCCAGCTAGAGCCCCATCAGAGGCCTCTCTGTCCCCCTGACTCTCCCCCACCCCCGTGGGGGTTTTCCTCAACATAGGATGTGTACTCTACCCAGATGAGGTTATTTTAGGCCTGATGGAGACAGGGACGTGGATGCCTTCCTCATATATGATCAGGTTTCCCATATGAGAAAAAATATACCAATTCTATTTTAAGATCTATTTATTTAACCCCCAAAGGTGAGTGTATTAAAAATGTATCATTAAAGAATCGTGCTGATGGCACTTGGCTCAGGTAAAAACGGTGGTGGTGGTTTGTCAGCGAGCAGGCGGGGGACACCTGCCCTGGTGGGTGTGGACCCAGGCGGCCTTCCTGCACCTTCTCTGCAGGTCGCTCACATAGTCCGGCAGACCTGGCCTCCACACCCCAGCTTGACATTCAAAGCCTCTGGAAAGTTCTCTCCTCTTGGAACATGAAGGGAAGGAGCTGAGAAAGGAGGCCAGGGTAGGTGGGGTGGCCTGGGGATGGATATTCTTTGTCCTGCCAAGGAGCACCCTGAGCGCACGACTTGGCACGCTATGCATCGCTGCGTCCCTAGCACCTAGAACCATGCCTGGCACATAGGATGTGCTCAAGAAATACCTTCAGAATGAATGAGAGAGAGAGAAGGAGAAGAAACACACCGAGAGGGAAGGGTTAGTCTCAACTTCCCACACGCTGAGGCCCCCTACACCTGCACAGAGCTTACGTGTCATAGCCATGCTTATGGGAGGCTTCCTAAGATGAACACACATGTCCTCAGAGAGTCTCAGGACCCTTCCACAGGTGGGCTCTGAGCTTGCACAAGTCTCTCTGAGAGAGTCTGAGCAAAAAGAAACTCAATGGGAAGGTCTCTCCCCAGACCCCAGCAGATGGGACGAGCAGAAAGCACCGGAGCTGGTGGGTTCTCCCTGCTCCCCAGTTTATAGGAGGGGAGAGGCTGGGGACAGCCCAGAGGCAGGCCTGGGCTATGAGCACTGGAGTCTCTTTGGGATGCACGTGACCCCGCACATCCACGTGGGCATCAGAGCCAAACAGAAATGCCTAAAACATTTTTAAAAGCAGAAGCAAAGGTTCTGGTTGTAGTTCAAACCGGTTTGAAAAGAAAAACTGTATTAAGTAATGACACATACAGGATATCATGTTGGACTACTCTTGATTTGCTTGGATCGTAAGTGACTGGGACCAAAGGAAAAGAAGCATCCATTCCTGAAATCCTTCAGGGTTCAGAAAAATCCCCTAGCCCCACCCCATGCCTCAGCCTTCGAAACTGATCTGCCTGCTCGGGCCCACGGTGGACACTTCCCTCTGCACCCCGGAGCCAATCACGTTCCCAAGAGGAGAGGTGGAGAAAGGATGGTGGGTGGGTGTGATGAGTCCAACGTGAGCTGGACGCTCTCACGCCCACTGGTGAGCTCATCTCCCATTGCTCCGGCTCAGCCCCAGATGCTGCCAAATGCGGAGCGCCCCCGAGAACAAAGCGGCCGTGTTCCCAGCCACCTCCCCGGCTCCCTGCAAGCCGGCAGCTGCTTGCCTCAGCACAGTGTCTTCCCCAATCAGTTTGCATCTTTCCATCCTAGGGTTTTTTGTAAGTGTCACTCACTCAATCAGTCACTCTGCAAACACGGAGGCCTGCTCCTTGGCAGCCAAGTTCCAGGACGTGGAGGGCTCCCCGGTTTGTTAACAAGGCAGCAGCACCCAGCGGGACAAAAGGGCAGGAGCGCGAGCACTCGAGAGCGGATGCGGTTGAGCTGGGGCTGGATTTGGGTGCAGGGCTAAGCTGGGTAAGGCTGGAGGGAGCGGCATTGCAGGCAGAAGGTGCCCGGCCATTGTCCAGGTGGCTGCAGATGGAGCGGGGCGGTGGGAGGTGGTGTACAAGGCGGGGGAGACGAGGCTGGAGGGGAAGGCCACTTAAGCCACATTATAAAGCCTGAATCTTGCCCTGAGGGTGATGGAAGCCATGGGGGCGCAGAATGGCGGAGGGGATGCAAGATCCCTGCTAGGCAGCTTGGAGGCTGAGGGAGCCTGAGCTGAACAGCAGTGCAGGGAGGGCGGCAAATCACAGGAAGGTCAGGGGGTGGGGGGTTGACAAGTCAGATGTGGCAGACCTGGGGCTGGGACCAATGGGAGGCATGGGGCGGTGGCCAGGAGGAGTCGTGGCGCTGGGGTAAGCACGGGGTGGACAGAGACAAAAGTCGCACCGGACGGGAAGATACGGAAGAGGGAAAAGACTACTCGAGGAAAGAGAATGGAACGAGTACTGATGAGCGGCTACTGCGCGCCAGGCATTGAGCCAAGTGCATACGCGCGATCTTACTCAACAGCGTGTCTAGTTCAACCGGCACGCGGGGCTGGGAATCGCTGTCCGGACCCCATCCAGTGTCCCCACCACCTTGGGCCAGCTCCCACAGTGGGGACGCGTGCAGAGGCGTCACTGGCCTAGACGTGCCTGAGGCTCACTACCCAAACTCCCTTCCCACGGCCCCGCCTCGGGGCACCCCACTCCGGCGCGGCTGCTCTGGGCTGAGCTGGAACGCATCTGGCCCTGCAGGCCCTCCCCTGAGGTCCCGGCTCTCAGGGCATCAGACGTGTTGTGCAGCGGGGTTTGAAACCCCAACTCACAGCCTGGGCAACTCACGTGTCCCCCGTTTGCTCCTCTGAGAGTAGAGATAGGAATTGCAGCCTCAGAAGGTGGTTGAGGGGAGTCACAGAAGAGAATGTATGGAAAGGCACAGGATAGAGACGGTTCTGACACATGCACACAGCAGGTGCTCATGTCTGCTCACTCGGCCTCTCCTGCCTTCTGGGGACACCTGCCTGACCAGACCCCTGGGCCGTGGTTTCTCTGTGTCTGCCCACTGTCCCGCTGGCCTCGTGCCGGCCACCCGGAGGCCTTGGGAGGCAGGCCGTGCGTGGGAGGATGCGACATTCGGACATGGCTATTTGAGCACTGTATTGTACCCGTTGTCTGGTTTCTAATTTGGACAAGTGGCATATACACACAGCTTCACCAGCCGCTGACACCCCACCCCACTCCCTATGGGGAGCAGCAGGGGGCTGTTGAGAGGAGGAGGGCATGTGCTCAGGGGCCAGGCCTTATCTCACACCCCACACCTGTGTGTAGTCCTGGACTGAAAGGCAAAGGGGAGGGACAGACCCGGGAGTCAGATTCCTGTGGCAGCCCTCGGGGCATGACGAGGGTGACATGGGATGACAGCCGGTGTTGGGAGGACCCCAGTGCTCTTCCCCAGTGGGGGAGAGGAAGAGAAGGCTCAGCGGGATTCAGGAACCACGCGAGGTGGCTCTTGTACGTGTGAGGTGAGTAGGGCAGACAGACAAGAAGGATCCAGAGGAGGGGAGAAGAGGGAGAAGGCTTCTGGGGAGACGTCCCAGAGGAGACAAAATCCCAGCCAGGCCTGAGGAAGGGAGGGGCTTGGCTCCACTCCAGCCAATAAGGTGGAGCTGCAGAGGCTGAGGTGGACAGGAAGTCCTGGGGGACGGAAGGAGGCTGAGGGGCGCAGGGGCCCACCCCGAGCCACGTCGCCTGGCAGGCATCGGGACTTACCTCTGGAGGCGGTCCCCACCCCTGCTCCACAGGCCCTAGTGCTCCCTACCATCAGGGAGTGGGAAAGCCCTCCCAGGCAGGGATGGAGGATAAATCTGCCTAAGCCACCTGCCTGCTCCTTGCTGGGGTCCTAGCTCCATGGCCCTGGATCCCTGGGTATCTCTGGGCTGGGCTCCAGCAACAGCAGGTGGAGTGGTGCTAACTGGGGGAGGTAGGCACTTAGCCTTTCCCCCCTCCTCCCTCCTCCAAGGGCGGGGGGCTCCATGCTGTCCCCAGGGGCTCATGGTCAGGGGGCTACAGGCACCCCTGTGAAATTAGGATAGTATTTGGTGGGAGGGGAAGTCTTGGTATATTATGGGCAACAAGAACTTTATCTACCCAGAACACTGGATCTCCCGCCTGCCACCGGGCCCTGCCTGCAGCCTCCAGCTCCATCACTGACAACCATCCTCTACTTGCTCAGGCCCAAGCCCCTGGTGCGGTCCCTGATGCCTTTCTTTCTTCCTAGCTCTTCATCCGGTCTGGGAACAAATCTTGTGGCTCTATCTAAAACGTGATCACTTCTCCCCACCTCTACTAACTAGACGCCCTGCTTCCGCCTTGCCCCTAAACCTACTCTCAGATCAAGAGCCACAGTGGGATTCCTTTTAACAATAAGTCAGATCTCATTACTCCTCTGTCCAACCCCCTCCAGGGGCCCCATCATGCTCGAGCCAAACAAAGTCTTACCAAGCCCCGACCAGCCTGCATGACCAGCCCTGGAATTCTGGCCGCACCCTACTCCTGTCCCTCACTTATTGCGTGCCGGACATGCTGGCCTCCTGGGTTTTTCTGGAGCTCAGAGGGCACCCAGCTGCCTCAGGCCCTTTGCACTTGCTATTTCCCCTGCCTGGATCCTTCTTCCCGCATATTTCTGTACTGCTCACCTCCTTCAATTCTTGGCTTGAATATCATTTTCCCAGGGAGGATTTCTCAATTTCTTCACTCAAGACTGCACCCCCACTCCACCCGGGGCTTCTTACCCCACTCTTGGCTTTGTTTGTCTCTCCCTACTGCGCTGTTAAGTTCCATGAAAGCAGGGATGAGCGTGTTTTGTTCCCCAGTCTGCAATTCCTGAAACACGTCCTGGCCTGCGAGGACTCACTAAGTATTTGTGGGAGTTGCTCAGACTCAGTCCCCTGTGGACAGCAGTCATGGCAGGGATCCCAGATCCCCCCTTAGGGCTCCTCACCTCCAAAGGGAGCAGCAAGCTCCCTCCTCAGCCGCCATCTCCCTCCCGCTCCCTGCCCCCACCCGGGCCCAGCGCTCACCATCCACTGGATTGAGGTAGTCGTGGAGATGGGGTGCACTGGCGGCACCCCCACTCTGCATCAGCAGGTCCCCGTAGGGTGCAGGGTGGCCCGCCATAAGGGTCATCTGGTGGTAATAGTCTGAGGGGTTGGTGCCTGGAGGGGGGAGGCCAAACAGTCCCCTCTCCTTGAGGTGCTCGTGGGCCGCTGTGCGCAGGAGGGAGGGAGAGAGAGAGAAGCCGTCAGGATGTGGCCAAAAAAAAGAGAGAAACATGCACATGGCCTGAGTTGTGTCCCCCCTCTACCACCCCAGTGCCTGCTGGTCGGTCTTCTGCCCCTGGGTCCCCACCCCCCACGGAGCGATGTGCTTCTGCTGATGGGGAACCAGAGCCCACATGCCCCCATTTCCTCAAAGCCGTAAACAAGTGCTCCCTCCTCCCCCTCCAGGCCCCGCAGGAGCCCAGAGCTGCAGGCCTACAGGGTCCACAGGCCAGCAGAGTCTTCAAAGGAAAAGAAGACGCAAACAAAGGCACGGCGGTGGTCGACAGTTGGGCCAGGTCAGTCTGGCCTGAACGCTCAAGGCGAGATCGCGGGGACCTGGCCAGATAAAGCTCCCGGCCTGGCCTGCAGCTGCAGAACCTGGGGCTGTCTGCCTCCAGCCCTGCATCCGGCCCTGCGCCTGCCCAGGCTCAGCCAGGAGGCAGGGAGGACGAACTCCGGAGCCTCCGGACGGGGCCTGGCACTCGGGGTGCCTCGGCACCTGGCTTGGAACCCAGCAAACCCACTGAGAGGCCTGGCTTTTACCAGCGGTGCAAAATTGGGAAGGGGCTCACTTTTCCATCCATAAAATGGGGGGAATAATACTCGCTACTCAAGTTACTATGAGAAATGAGAGTGACAGCCAGTGTCATGCTGAGCACTTGCTGGGCGAGGGACTCACATTCATTCTCAGGGTCACTGTCCCCACACACTGTGAGCGGAGGGCCACCATTACCATCCTCCACTGGCAGATGAGGACTCTGGCGCTCTCTGCTATTAGTCTTGGCAAATAGCAAAGATCTCATATGCGCTGGGCAGAGAGAGGCCAGTCGACGTGAGCAGCCACCCCCCTCCTTCTCCTCCTCCCCTTCCCCTTCCCCTGCTGTATCCGCTAGAGAGGCCTGGCCCGCAACCAGGGTGATGCCCCACCCTGCCTGCCCTCTCCATGCCTGAAATGCCCTCCTGTCCCCCTCCTCCCTGAAGCCTTCCCTGGAGTGCCCGTTTGTCCTCAGAGCACAAAGCGGTCTGTCAGACATGGCCTCTGATGGCTGATGAACTTTCTGGGCCTCCTGTGGGCAGGATCTGGGGATGGCACAGCTATGTCGTGAGCCTGACATGCTGTCTCTATCCACTTGGGGGCTTGGTTCGGGGCCAGCGAGGACTCCGGGTATCAGGTATCAGGTCCACCCCCTGCGAAGGTCAGGGCCTTGCAAATTAGCCAAGTGCCCTCTGGTGCTGAACTCACGCCGCCTCTGTCGAGGGGCTGGGGCTGGGATATGTGGCAGAGAGAGGAGCCCCAGCGATGTTTCTGTGGAAATCAGGCATAGAATCAGTGCTCCACAAATGGAAGTCTCCTCTTCAAGGGCAGCCCGGTCTCACCGCTTAGCTCTTCACGGGCTACACCGCGGTCAGCTCAAACTACAGCGTCCTTGTCTTTTCTAGAGACCTCTCTCAGGGCCCTCTGACCCCCGCCTCGGGAGGACTGCCACGTCCTGCCTCCTCCGTAGGAACCCCGTCCCCATGCATATTAGTTTCCTTAGGCTGCTGTGACGAGTGAGGACAGACGTGGAGCCAACTGCTGTTCAAACAACAGAATTTCATTCTCTCACAGTCTGGAGGCCAGGCCCTATGGCATCAAGGTATCATAGGGCCAAGCTCCCTCCAGAGGCTCTAGGGGATCATCCGTCCCGTGCTCCTTCCAGCGCCTGGGGGTTGCCAGCTTCCTTGGCCTATGGCCACATCACTCTTATCTTTGCACTGTACTCCCATCTATGTCTCTTGTGAGGACACTTATCGTTGTATTTAAGGCCCATGCGGACATTCCCGGATGATCTCCTCACTTCAAAATCCCCAAATAAATCACATCTGCAAAGGCCTTTTTTTTCCAAACGAGGCCACATTCTCAGGTTCGGGGTATTAGGGTGTGGACACATCTTTCCCGGGGGCAGGCAGCCTCCAGCCCACGACACCACGTGCGAGCTTCAAGGTCAGGGCAGTATGTGGATCCTGGCCTGCATCCTCAAACTTTGGGCGGCCCGGAGCTGGCTGGGTCATCAGGAAATGACATGGAGAAGCCCGGGCCCACTTTCCGGAGTTGGTGGCTCAGTGTGGAGGCGGCGTGATCCTTCAGGGCACCCTCACTCGGCCAAGGCCACTCAGAAAACCCACACAGATTTCAGGACGATGAGCCCGATGCTTCAGGGAGATTTTCTGTCCATTCAGAGGCCAGAGTCCTTTTCCTTGTGAAACTCCAACCTGAGCCTCTCAGGTCCAGGACTCGGCTCCAGCTCCTGGTCATAGCCACTAAGTGGGGGAGGGCACATTCCCCCTGGTGAGGACTGGAGGTGGTGACAAGGGACCCATTGGGATCATGTTTCCTGGAGCCTCTGCCCATGGGCTCTGGAGTGCAAATGTCTTCTAGAACTGCCTGGACCAAGAGGCACAATTTCAGTGGGCAGATTGAGAAGGTGCCCCCTGGTTGCTTTTTGAAAATTGCACTAGAAAGTGGCTACCGGGCACCGTGGGGGGTGGCATGGGACAGTGGGGTGGGAACATTTCCTGACAGGAAGACAGGATGGGCACGGCCAGCTCCCAAATGTACTCACTACCGTCCAGTGTGAGTGTGTTCGTTTGTGTGTATCAGTGAGTGGGGATGGGGCTGGAAGTATTAAATTTTTTTTGAAGTATTAAATTTTAGACCTGAAAACCCTATCTGTATTATGTGACCTACCCTTTCTGGTCACAAATTAACTGGATTGGGGTGACCATCTGATCTTTGAGCTGGGCCAATCAATTCTCTCTCAAGCATCTGAGCTGAGGGACACAAGTGAGCCCCCGGTGCTCATCTGTGGAGGCTTGGGGTGCCATTTGGAGGCCACGTGTTGACCTACAAGGGGCACATAAAGCAGATGCAGGCAGAAACCAGCCCGGCTCTGCCTTCCGGCTGCTCTGGGGGCCCAGGTGACACCTCGATCCAACACCCCCTTTACTTAACCAGAAGCAGATTTTGGTTTATTGCCTTGATACCTTGCCATTATTATATATAATTTGCATGCAAAAGGGTGCTTCTGAACAGCTCTTTAATGAGCACAAAAACCAATGTTCCGCGGATCCTCTTGGCTTTCCCCATTCATTTATGGAAAAACCCGTTGTTCAGGGTGGTGGGGATGAATGTCAACTTGCTCGCTATCCCAGGGGCTGGGGGGCTGGGGAGTCAACAATGTTAAAGTTAGCGGCATGGTTCCCCCAGCACCCCAAGCTCTACTCACCATCAGCGGGGCTGAGACCCCGGGCTGCAGAGATCGCGGGGAGCGTGGGGCTGCTGTGCATGGCACGGAGGTAATGCTCCATGTGGGGGCTCACGTATGGGTGGGGGGCGTTGAAGGGGGACTCCCCAGGGCCGGCGGGGTGTGGGGAAAGCCGGATCAACGAGATGTCGGAGATAACAGGGCTGCCACTCAGGGCAGGAGGCCTGCAGAGACAAAGGAGAGGGGTCAGAAGGCATGGCCTGTTGCAGAAGGACATGCGTGCGGGGAGCCCTGCCGAGCAGTGGGCACAGGCACCCTTCATGCGTCCGAATTCTCATACGCTAGCCAGTGCACGCAGGCTGAAGGCGCCTACAGGCTGCTGGGGCCGCCCGCTGGTCTGGTGTTGGCAATGAAGTGTTCGGCACACACGGTCGGACTCGCGGGACCACAGGCCCAGTGGGCCACATGCATGTGCCGAGCTTTCCCAGGGCCTGCATGAGGCTGGACAAATGGCAGCAACACAAATCTTTGTTAAATGAACAGAGGCATGCCTTCTACATGAATGAAAAACAGAAAACACTAGTACCAGGGCAAGATGCAAAGAGCTCGTATTCCTAACAGAATGGAAAGAAGGAGAAGGATCGGGAGAGGCCCCGAAAGTAGAGAATTTGGGGTTTAGTTGGACAGTCACCGCTGTGGACCGGCTGGGAAGGGACAGAGCAGGATTCAAGAAGAGCTCTCAAATGAGGAGCCGTAACTAAAATTCTAGAATGTCCCTTTAGCTCTCCTTACATGGAATTCCTTTTGATGCTAACAGAGCCTGCCTTCTCAGATGCCCACCAGCGGTCAGGCATGAACCTGGCCTGGTCCCTGTGGCCCGAGCTGGCACTGCTGCAGCCCACCCCCATGTCCCCTGCTCAGCCTTCAAGGGGGCAGCGGCTCCAGTCAGCACAACGATGGGGCCTTTACACTAGGCCTGCCCACTCGGAGTCTCCAAGCAGCTGTTAGTATGTTAGCGCCGGGGTGTTCTGAGGTCATCTACCCCAAAACGTGCCCATCAGAGAAAAATCAGGCTTTAGAGGAGGAGACGTAGCTATGAAACCACAGCTAAGTCACTGCGGACCAGATTCACCAAAATATAATTTGCATTTTTCAGAAAACGGGGTCTCTCTGTGATCCGATGTAGTGCCAAGAAAAGAGTTTCGGACAAACCTGCATTAGGATCTCAGCCGTTACCAGCTCAGTCACGCTGAGCAAGCCATTTAACCTCTGCTGAGTCTCAGTTTCTTCAACTGTAAAACGGAGATAATAGTGCCTTTTTCCTGGGGCTGCCTTGAAGAGGAAAGTCCCCCAAATGGTGCGTGAGACACAGCGGTCCATTAATAGCCCAGAGCTCTTATTACAGCATTAGCGCCATACTTGGAAGGCAAAACCCAGATGTGCCCGGGAGGCCCTCCACACCGCCCCACGGGAGTGACCTTGGACGTGGGCAAGGGCAGGGTTAGAATACTTCAGAGCGGGGATGGTTTGTCCACCGGCTGGAGCGAACCAGAGAGCATTACTGCTTATGTGGGAGAGTGCTCAAAACCCGTGCCCGCCACACGGGGCGTGCCAGGACCCAAACAGGTGACATCCAGATGTTTCTACATCTGGGTTTCACAAACTCCCCGCTTGGAGGATGTGAGCATTCTGCTACATTTCCTTCTCGCTTTTGCAGATGTGATTGCAATGTGCGTGCCGATCCAACGAGCCTGCCAGGCCGCTCTTCCACACTGCTGTGCTTTTGTGCACACGGAGTCTTGGGCTCGAGGGCCTTCCCGCGTCCTCTACCTCATCAGGCAAACCCCTTCTCCGCCCTGTAAGCCCAGGGGAGGGAGCGGCTTCGGTGACACCTTCCCTGGAGCCCCTTGTCCTGGCACGAGCTCTCAGCGCCTTCCCCCCTGCGACCTCTGGGAGGTGCCTGCTTCTGGTCTGAGGTTGACGGGTCCATCTCCCAGGTAACTGGGTTCTGTCTGAGGTACCTCTACACGCTACCACCTGGCAGGTAGTGAACTAGCATCCCCCAGAGGGATTTTCAAAAGCAGTGATGGCCACACGTTTGTTTCCAGCCACTGAGCTTGGCAGAAGGGAGTCTTTGGGATAAGTCATGCGTCATAGCCCCAAGCTGCTCTCACTCACAGGCCGCCCTTCGAGGCCAGCCCACCTGGAGGGAACTGCATTCAGCGCAAGGGGCTTCAGGGACGGCTTCGCTCTAGGCAGGGGCGCTATGCGTCCCAGGGTAGGTGGGGGGAACAGAACCAGACTAATTCACCTACTCACCAAGGGTCTGTCTCGCTACCTCGGGCATGCTGACCGGGGCAGGATGGACACTCATGTTCCTGCAACAGGACAGGTGCTCTATGAAGACAATACTCGGAGAATATCACCCATGGGCCGGGCATGTGGGGCAGGGAGGAGACCTCTGTCTGACTCCTGGGCACAGATCTGGGATTGAAGGTAAAACTTCTGGAAGGCTGAGCATACTTCAATAAACACAGAGTGTTCTGGAGAACAGTGTGAGGCACCTCTTGTCCTCAGATCCCTTAGTCGTCCCCCGAACACTCGAGGTAGGGTGGATTCCCAGGGCCTACAGGACACTGGTCAGGGTTGTGGTCACTGAAGCCAGTGGCCCTAAGTGGCCTGCCCAAGCTTCTCTGGCACCAGGGTCTCCCTGTAGGGCACACTGATAACAGCTGAGGCCTCATGAGACAAACCAGTGACTATATGGGGAGTTAAAGGAACACATTTAGGGCCCACAGAAGCCCTGGTATGTCCAAGGGGACCCCCACTCCACTGGCCAGATGAGTGTCCAAAGCAGGAGGCTGGAGACGTGTTGTCATGGCAACAAGCACACCACTGCGGGGGCTGCCCTGGCGGGGGCTGGACTCCAACCCAACCTAGCAGTTGGGCCTGGATGTCCCCGCATGGAGGAACTGGGACGTTTGTCTTCATACCTCAGTTATCACCCTTCAGGGGAGTGAACTCTGCGGCTCTCTTCCCATCACAGGTCACCAGGGGAACAGGGAGCTCATTCTTCCAGCGCACCCCGGGCCCTGTCTCAGACCCGGGGCTCAGAGTGGAGCCTCTGGAGCTCCTGGCAGGGGCGTCCAGCCGGCCTCCAAGGAAGCATGGGCTGCGTGTCCATCTGGAATATTTGTGAAAACTCTGACACCAACAATCGCCCAGGAGGACTCAGGGTCCAGAGAGAGAAGTCGCCCCTCCAGGCTGTGTGGCCAGAGAGAGACACAGGCCAAGACTCAACTGGAGTCTGCCTCATTCCCCGGCTGGTGCTCCCCTCATCCCAGGGGCCGCCCCGCCGCCACAGGGAACACTGCGAAGGCCTCCCTGTTTCCATGGGCGCGGAGCTGCGAGAGGCCACTGCCTCCCGACCAAAGCAGATTCGATAGGGTTCGCTGGTGAGACAGGCCAGCTCCCAGGGCTGACTGAGAGTACACAGAACAGCCCCTTGCTCTTCCCAGGGCCAGGAATGCTGTCACTGCTAGGCCTGGGAGCTATGGGAGCGGGGCCGGCAGAGCCTATCATGAAGGCACAACCAAATGCTCTTCTTTCGTAAGCAGAGCGGGCCTGGATTCTGGAGGCCGTTTGGGGGGGGACCCAGGGCCCGGAAGCAGTGGGGCGGGGCTGGCATCTGGGCACTGCCTGAGCCTTCGAAAGCACCGGTTCTCCCGCGAACCCTGATCTTTCCCACCTAGCTGGGTGGCCTCGGCCAGCATGCTGCCCCTCTCTGGTGCCTCCCAGGGTGGGGCACATGCAGGGGGTTAGCGAGCATTAACCCCCTTCCCTTCCCTTCTCTGCAACAAGTCAACTCGGGGGTGGAGCATCTACTGACCTGGACGCCCAGTACCCAGGACAACAGCAGCTTCAGCCAACACAGCTGTGGATGACTATCCAGACACCTCCTCCGGGAAGCCTAATCTCAATCAAAAAGTCACCAAGAAGGCGCTTCATGCCCATTTGACAGATGAGGACACAGCCTGTGAGGCTAGGTCCCTCCTTGCCCAAGGGCACTCAGACAGCAGGTAGCGGGACCACCCCCGACCCAGGTGGGTCTGGGCCCCAGCCTATGCTATGCCTGACCTCCCCGGGCAGAGAAGTGGGTGCTCCTGATGACTGTGGTTTCCCATGAGCAGGGCTCGGCGGGGGCGCAGGGTCAGGCAAGGGCAACACCTGAGAGCAGAACAGCTTTCTCCCCACTCTGTCTCAGCTTCCTTTCCACTCCCGCTCCATCACCACGCACAAGCCAACCCAGCTCTCAGGAGGGAGTTGGAACCTCTCCCTCCCACTGTGTTTGTCAATGACTGATAAGGATCCAGGGGGCACAAATGTTCCAAGAGGTTATCATTTTGACAGACCAAACCAAGCAAAAGGAGTGAATCTAAAATGGCAGAATTCCAAGCATCGTTAATGCACATGGGGGAGCAGGGAGCTCCCCAGCAGCCCCGACCATCACACCAACTCTGCCAACGTTCAAGGCAGGTCCTTCCGGGAACAGGGCTCCTCTTGGGTCCATCCTAGGGCCCAGCAGAAAGTTCCATGCATGCTGGGTGCTGCCGGTGCTCGTGAGCTGACCCCAGGAAAGATGTCTGCTGGTGAAATCCGAGCCAGCACTTCAGGCTGACCCCCAGCTACCCCTTCCCTTTCGTCTTGCATGTCCACACCATTGGCCGTGGGGGCCCAACCCAGGTCTCGGCTGTGGCCTGGCCTGGCCTTGAATTCTGGCAACTGGGCAGAGACTCGAGGAGGTAGCCTTGAGGGTGAGAGGAGGGGCCAACTGCGTGAGCTCATTTTAAGAGATGCTCACGTTCTCCTCTGTCGTATGCACGCATGTACACTCACACACCTGCCGGCTGCCATCAACTGGATTGGCCAAGCCAGCCTTGCTGCCAATAGCTTCCCTTGTTCGTTACCCTTATGCATTGCTTTCTCCCCTGCGGTCCGACTCTGAGCTCATCTGAGCCTGATTCTACCATCCTTGGTCTGTTGGTTCATATTCCTGACAAAGTCGTCCTGGGCGCTTGCTCTGGGCCCAGGACCTATACGGAGCTCAGAGCCCAAGAGGCAGACCCACAGGTCAGGTAAGCATCAGACAGTTTGATAAAGACCCCGCCCAGAGGAAAAAAAATTATCTAACTCTGCATGTAAGCATAAAGGAAGGCTTCTCAGA